TTAGAATATGGTATGGGGTTGGTAACTTTTTTTGATAGCCACATGGGGGAACTCTTGACACCAACTGTTCACAGCTGTGCAACTGATGTTCGCACAGAAGGAGACATCAAAAAATTTCAACCGGCTGCAACTTTGAAGAACACTGCAAGTCAAAACACATAAATAATTAGTTTACAAGCAGTAAAATTAAGAAGGAAGCATTAATAAAATTAAAGAAGTTTATGGTTTTTGAAGTGAAAAATATTTTACAAAATTGTTTCTTGATTTAAAAAAATAGTAATAAAATACAGTTTGATATGTAATCTCCAAATAAAATTATGGAAATTAAAGAAAGCCAACCAAATTAAAATATGATAGACTTCTGAATGACCCGAATTGCAAAGAGATGTATATTAAAAGCAAATACAATGAACTAAATAAAAATATGGGACAAATTAAAAGAAGTTTTAGTGAAATCAGCAAATACAATCATCCCAATGAAAACTAGACAAAGAATAAACGAGTGGATGATAGACAACATTGCCAACATGATGAAAAAGAGACAGTAAACAATGCCAAAGTATGCTAAGTGTATAGAAATGGAAAATGAGCATCACAGATAAAGTTGCCTCTCTCTGTCTTTTCTACAAATACTTTCATGGTAATTGCTCCGATGAGCTGCTTTCACTGGTTCCCAGACTCCATGAATTCAAGCGCGCGACGAGGCTGGCATCCCGCTCCTACCCTTACACTGTAGAAACTTTTAAATGGAGCCGTCTCTTCTACTCCAATAGCTTCATACCTCGCACCTCTCGCCTGTGGAACACCCTTCCCAATTACTGTTTCCCTGAGAGCTATAATCTCCAACTATTCAAATGTAATGTCAATCGACACCTCCAGTTACCTTGATCTACCCACTATCCCTCTCCTCATCCTTTCTTCTATCACTCCTATCTGCTCTTGCTCCAATCTTCTGCAACCCCCTGCATCCTAGTGGCTTCGCACCTTGCTTGGGGCGTAATGCTTAAAAAAAAAAAGAAAAAAAAGTAGATATGAATAAAAGAAGAAGAGAAATAATAAGAGAAAAAATGTGCTCATCAATACAATGCATAAATCAAAACATGAAACACTGATAATAGAAGAAAAAAAATACTTCAAAGATGGAACAAATATGCCAGATAACTCTTCCAAAGAGGGAAACCTGCATTACACAAAAAATATGGCAGGTGAATTCAACATTGGCCAGGATAAAAAGAAACAATGTAACAGGATCAGATGGGATTGTAATAGAGATGCTGTCAGCCTTACATGATTTCAGCATTGACAAAATTAAAGAAACACTAAATGAAATATATCACAGTGGTGATATACTAGATCTTACTAGATCCATTTTCATCATGCTGCTAAAGTGTAAATGAATGTGAGCTTTAACAGACAATCAGCCTAATGAGTCACACAAGGAAACCTATCATCCAAATTCTGAAGAAAAGAGTCTGGAGTAGAGTTAAACCAGAAATAGGAAAAGAACAACATGGTTTTATTAAAAAAATGAAACAAAGAATACATTATTTATGCTCAGAATCAGAAAGAGCCAGAAGGATGTATATCAATGTTTTATAGATTATGCAAAAGATTTTGATATGGTACAACACAAAGAACTGTTTGAACTACTAGGTAAGCTTAATCTATTTGGTAAAGATATTAGAATAATCCAAAACTTATACTGCGAGCATACAGATAGAAAATGAATTTAGTAAATATACAAAAATATAAAGGGGCATAGTATGATTCATAGGAAGGGAATCTGAGTTGACAAGATGCAAGTAGCCCTCATGATACTGAAGAACATCTGAACCTCTAGGTTAATTGACACAACTACAAAAATACACATCTTTAATTACAACATCAAATTAGTCTTAATCTCCAATTCTGGGATGTGGAGAATGACCAAATTTTTGCAGTGAAAATTGCAGACATTTGTCTGAGGTGCATTTTCAGCAACAGGTGGTAAAAGATCACCAAATAGCAATTGTCACAATGAGAAGGACACTATCCAATTATCAAGCAGATCTTGTGAAAAAAGTTGAGTTAGATAGGACACACTCAGGAAACCAGTATCACCCACGAAGTCCTGACCTGGAACTCATATAGAAAAACAAGAGAGGATGATCAAGAAATACCTGGAGAAATGATGCAGAGAATGTCTTTTGGCAAAAAAGTTACAAGTATGGTAATGGTAATATTAACTGTTTCCTTATAAGGAAATATTCAGCATTCATTTCCCAAGCTGCCAGTACGGCTATCAGTTGAAATTTATAAATTCTTTCTATTAAAACAATTTTTCAGGACAATGGGTTTCCCAAGTCTAGTAGCTGTTATAACTCTTTCCAGTATTTCAAATCTTTTATTTAAAATAATTTAGTTGTTGCTTATGTTGATAGTCTCCAAGTGATATAGTTTCTGTTATTTGGTACAGTTCTTTATTTGTGATTCCATAATGCTAGTCAGCAATGTTCAAAGAAGGATGGTGTTTGTCAAGATCCATGGGCTTTACTCATGCAAATCCATTTTTAACCATTCATCTTAGAAAGTGGTTGTATGCAGCTGACAGTTTAGATGGGGTCCTCAGTGAGGAACAAATTCATTTGTAATGATCTGAGATACAAACATGCTAACCATTACACAATGATGATGATGTGCCAAACTGGCTGGATAAATACTGTATTTTCTACTATGACTTACATGATGACACTTATTATACATTATAGAGAATTTAGTCCGCTTATTTACTACACATTACACTGGACTCAATTGTTACTGGCCTTCAGCAAGATTAAGCTAAGTGAAAATGTATAATATACATCTATAATTTTACAAGTGATGGATTGATTATTTTTTATGGTTTTAACCCTTTTCAGGTTACTTAAAGCCAGAAAATATTTTTTAGATTGTTAAAATTTTTTGAGAGAATGTTTTACTATTTAACCCATAGGTGGGGAGAGAAGAGATGATTTCATAACCTTATCTATTTGTGTGTAAGTGAATATAACAAACCTAACAAGAATTGGAATTCGGCTTAACAATTCTGAGCCATTATCCATTACACCACCCGCACATACAAGATTACACAACCTGGTATTCCCAAACAGTCACCCATCCAGGCACTGACCAGGTTCAACGATGTTTAACTTTGATGATTGTACAGGAACCAGTTTTTAAATGTGAGATAGCCATAAGCTAATTTTACAAGAGATATACAGGAAAAATATATTAATTTCATTATAATTCCTAACCCTGCCTCAACAAGGTTTGGCAACAGCTTGTAACAGACTGTTTGTAATCCTGCTGTTGAAAAGACTAAGGTGTATTTAGGTCAGAAATATTCAGGTGAACAGCAATGTGAGAGTACTTGTCATTTCAACCTAAATGTTCTACATCAAACCATGTTTTGCAGCATAATGTGCATGATATTTAAACAAAATTTAGAGTGAAAAAGTTCATATAAAGACAGGAAAGAATGTAAACATACAACATGACCCTTACTCAAGCTTTCCACTGATCAGCCAATGATTACCTCAAAATTGCACAAAAACCTGGGGAAAGTCATTCTGCATGCTTACAAGGTAACATGAAAGACAAACATCCAGGTGGGTAGGAAGGTGATACTTGGGACAACTTCTGCTATGTCAGTTCTTCTCTCTATCAACTGTTCACCCATCTATTCATCCTGATGTGGTGGCTTAGCAATGCGAAATGGAGGCTTCGGAACTGCATGACAAACATGTCTGTCTCCAGTTGTGCATGACTTAATATAATCCAGTTCCTGGATATACCCTATTTCCAGTTGTGCTGCCACTTGATTTCTGAATATCTCTCATTCACCACTTTATTTTTCATTCCCTTTTGATTAAAGTGGATTTTGCTTTTAAAACTGAACTTCAAATTGTGCAAGACTAAATTAAGCATAGTAAATATATGTGTGCACACAAACACACAAAAAACAATCATGATGTAAATCTTAATAAGTAACTTGGAGTTTTAATTTTGCACTTATTGTGATAAAGTGTGTTAATTATTTACATTATTTACACTCAGACTAATGTCCTTATCTTTGGCGTTACAAACACAACACTTCAATAGAAGGAGAACACTAGATTGAATAAGAGGGTCAGTTTGAAATTTCCTAAAAGTTAACTGGATTGACAAACAACTGAAAAAAACCTAAGAGCACAATGGACGAAATATTGTAATAATGACAACAAAGATGAGGATGTTAGTCTGTCTGTGAACAATGTAAATAATAAGTCATTTCTTTATGGGAAAATGCAAAATGACATCATAACCAAGTTTTAAAAAATGTACACAACATATTTGTTCAATTTCAGACAATTTTCACTTGTGAATGATTATCAGCAAAATAAGATGAAAATTTAGGAACCACAGAACATTACAAAACACAAAGAAAATACTTACTTGAATGCAGACTGTTCTCTTACTTGAGCAGTGCCCAAAATGTCTAGTTGCTCTAAATTATGGCCATATTCAGCAATAGCATTCAGGTCATTATCACATACGGTCCTGCAAATCAAAATATTATCTTTATTGTCCTGTTACAAAAGACTTTCTTTCTCTACATTTGTACTGCAGACATGTTATGAATACATTGAACTTCTATTAGACCAACAAGAATACCCTGCAATGTTGACCATCCTGGGTATGACGATAAACCACATCTGCATCCCGGGTAAGATGATAAACTGTATTCAACAGCAAGGTCTTTGATCAGGAGGTTTTGAGGAGCATGGAACCACCTCTTAATTGCTGGTGTTCCCAGATCCACTCTGACCCGAGGTGGTAGTACCTGTCAGGGTCCAAGCTATGGGCAAATAGTTATCCTCCCCCAAAAAGGGTCAAAACACTATGAAAGTATAAAAACAGGTTTTAATACCAGCATTACTTTGTTGGAAAAATTATTATCAGCAGTACATTTTTGAAAAAGAAAAATATTACCAGTAATACATTTTTGAAAAAAAATATTACCAGCAATAAAAATTTTGTTGGCATTAAATAAACCACTGAGATTGATATGCCATGAAACAAAACAAACCAAACCTGGAAATGTTGAGGTGAAGTTGCTTTTCTTTTTCTCTGCTGTACTATTTGTCATCTATTTGTTTGAGAGATTTGTGCATGCCCTAAAACAGTCTTAGCAAAATTGTAATAATTAAAGCAATTTGGTAGGTTTAAACATTTTCAAAATCATTTATTTCACAATTTGAAAAATACATCATAAATATGAGCCAAGGTGTGTCATTAGTGACTGGCACTGGTTTTATTGTAAGTTTCAGCTTTTACACATCATCTCTGCTCCGTCAGCTACCACTCATAATATCAGATATTTTATACAATGTTGCATACTATATATATATATATATATATATATATATATATATATATATATATATATATATAAATACATATGTATATAAATAAATAAATATATGTGTATATACATATATAAAAAATAAAATTAAATTGAAATTAATAAGAAAAGCTAGAATATGTAGATAATTAAATGACCCATGTCCTTTGTGCATACATGAGAAACTATATATTACTAGGTTTATAAAAAATAAAAATTTACTGAATCAAAGAAATGAAATAGCTATTCTTTGCCGACAGTCAAAAATTTTCCTTAAATATTTAAAAATAAAATAAATTAAAAAAAAAATGAGTTGATAATAAACATACATATATTTGATATGTAATAATGATTTTTAAATAATTTAAGTAATTTTATTACATTTATTTGTTTTAAAAAGAAATATAGTCTATTAGTAATTAAAAATAAAAACAATATTTTAAAATTGCAGTTCGATACAACGTATTCTAGTCCAAACACCCCTTTTAGAAAGAATCTTTATGTACAAATTTAACGAAAATGCTGAAAAACTTTTTGTCGCTGATAAAAAACCAGATGACATGCATTAAACGGATGTCATAATTTGTTGAAAAAGGCACCCCTACCCTACCTAGACTTAGCCTCTTTTTGAACCTAACTCATAATTGATACAATAATAGTTAATAAAAATGAACACGCTATCGCCCCTGTCTAAATGATTAGATTTCTTTGTATCCTCAGAAACAAAAATTATGAAAGTATGTGCTTTTAAAACTCAGTAAATTTCAAAATAAGTTATTCCAAAATTCGCTTGAAGATGAAAAATACTAATGCTTTTAATTTAATTATATAATTGAATTTGAAGTTTTTAGTTTCTGATGTCGAAACATGGTGAGACATTGTTTTTCTCAATTTTGTCCCTTACTTTTGGACAATCCTATTTTGAAAATAAATAAATAATTGTTATAATTCTTTTTCTATCCTTTGCAAATGATTCAAATTTTAGTATGTTATTATGGATGATAGAGACTACCAGTTGTCAAAATTTCAGCTTTTCACAGTTGTTATTTCTAACAAATATTAGGTTTTAAAATTTTGTCCCTTAGTTTTGGATGCTACTGTATATATATATATATATATATATATATGAAAATTTCTCCGATTTAACCCGTAGAGAAGACAATATTTATGAATAAAAATGACAATAGGAAAACTGGTAATTGCTGACGTGTTTCGTCCAGTGTGGACTTTATCAAAGCAAAATACAAAAATGAAATTAAATGAACAAAGTAACTAATAAAAACAAAAACAGAATGTACCTAGCAACTGGAATGTAGAGAAACGCTATTTTCATATTTTTTAACTGAAAAATAACATCATTGATTGTCACGTGTGGAGAATATTGTCATTATATCTGTGTTGATGTGTTCAACCATTTTCTTTTGATTTTATGAATCTGTTGTGCATATTTGTTTGTAAGAGCAGTAATTTTGTTAAGAATGGTGAAATGGGGAAAAATTACCCAAATATTAATTTATGCCCAGGCTTTTTCCCTATGCGTCAGCAATTACCAGTTTTCCTATTGTCATTTTTATTCATAAATATATATATATATATATAATATAATATATATATATATATATATATATAAATATATATATAAATAAATATATATATATATATATATATATATATATATATATATATATATATAAATATATATATATATATATATATATATATATATATAATATATATATATATATATATATATATATATATATATATATATATATATATATATATATATATAATAAATATATATATATATATATATATATATATAATATATAAATATATATATATATATATATATATATATATAATATATATATATATATTTATATATATAAATATATATATATATATATATATATATATATATATATATATATTTATATATAAATAAATATATAAATATATATATATATATATATATATATAATATATATATATATATATATATATATATATATATATATATATTTCCTTTTTGCTGTGTGACAATGGCCTAGAGGTAAGATATCTGACTGATGTCAAGACAAGCGATCTGATCAGAAAGGACCTAACTAAATTCTTTAAGGACAATTAACTGGATATTACCACCACTACTAACACTAAAGGGATCAATTTCCTAGATGTTACATTAAACCTGAGAAACCTGAGTAAGGGCCTGTATAAGCCATACACTAAGGATTCATACAATTACAGGTACGTTGATAGAAAATACAGGCACCATAAAAGGTTCCTTGATAATTTACACAATTCAGTTCAATTTTGGTTATCAACCAACATCAGTAACAAAGAAATATTTGATGATAATAAACTAGATATAGTAAAGCACTTGTACACAGTAGTCATTAAGTGAAATTAATGTATGTAGAAATAAAAAACAGTAAAAATAAAAGTAAGCTAAAATAACACAAATAGTTCAACACACCATACAATCGTAATGTTCAAACTAATGTAGGTATAATTTTTTAAAATTTAATTCACAAACACTTTGGTCATTCTCCAACTTTAAAAATGATTTTCAACAAAAATAATATTAAGGTAAGCTATAGCTGTACTAAAAACATCAATAATTATATATCACAGCATAACAATAATATATTAAACACTAGCAGTAGAGCCCGGTGTTGCCCGGGGATATAACAGTAAGAGATAGATCAAGTATCGACCATCATAAAGACTGAAAAATAAAATTGACAAAGATTATTGTTTAAGGTTGACGGACACGCATGTCTTGTTTTGTTTTTTTTTTTTACGAATTAGTCAAACTCAAACTCAAACAAAAACATTGTTTTCAATCGTTATGAGTCTACCAATTGAATAGAATTTTATTATAAACAATTGTCTTGTAAATGGAATTTTTAAAGCATTCTGGAATGTAAAAATAAAGAAAAAAGTGTGCAAGACAATAAGAAACACTACCTGCCAAAAAAAAAAGTGAAGTTTTGTTGAAATCGGTTGAAAAATGTAGGAAATCCGATCCCATATATAAACAAACACACGCACACACAAACAACCTGGGTTTTATAATAAGTATAACTTGATATGAGTTGTCTCCCTTTTATTCTTGTGATGCCTCTTAATCATGTTTTCAAAGTGATTTTGTGCAAAAACAATTGTGTTTTTCCAATTTTTGGTGCAGTCAGAACCACCCCAAGGTAATTTTATGTAGTCCTGTGAAGTTTTGTTGAAATAGGTTGAAAAATGTAGGCAATCTGATCCAATATATAAACATACAGAGACACACACACACACACACACACACACAACCTGGGTTTTATAATAAGTATGATGCACACAAACAAAATACTAAATAATAATCCTACTAAAAGTCAATGCAATTGCTATAAAAATCTAATTTGCCCACTATCCTCTAGCCTTAAAATAGTTAACTTTCTAGACATTACTCTTAACCTCTCAAATGATACATTTAAATCCTTCCAAAAAGAGAATCAGACCCCCATCTACATCAATGCCCACTCTAACCACTCGAAATTGATTATAGACTATATCCCCAAAACTGTAAACACTAGGATAAATAGGCTTTTTCTAACCAAAAAAAATTTTAATGAAAATAAATTTATATACAATGAAGCACTCAAAAATAGCAAATTTAAACAAGAATTATATCATCAAGATGACTTTAAAAACCATAAAGTTAATAAATCTAAAAACAGAAAAAGGAAAGTCATATGATTCAACAAATCCTACTGCAGTTTCTTCGTCAAGTTAATAGATAAGCATTTTGATTATAAACATCCACGAAATAAAATATTCAATAGGAAGACACTAAAGATTAGTTACTCTTGCATCAATAATGTGGAGAAAATTATCTCTTCCCAGAATAGTAAACTACTTAGAAACTTTTATAGTAGTGAAGTACTAGCTATTAACCCCACCTGCAATTGTAGAAGAAAAACAGAATGTCCTGTTGGGGGAAAATGTATGTCCAAAATTGTAGTATATGAGGCAACAATCTTCCCCAAAGAAAATGTCAACTTGAAGAAGAGCTACATCAGAATATCCACAGGAAATTGGAAGCAACATCTATACAATCATGGGCATTCTGTCAACAATAGATCCCTGAAAAATCAAATAGCATTAT